GGTCTTGATACTTTCATATTCTTTATCCAAATTGATTGTCATGATATTTCAAGTAATACATACTGGATGGTACATTCTTACTCTTAAAAGGGCTGGTGAAGATGCTATACTTCAGGCCTCGCAGGAAAGACCACATAACTTGGTGAATATGAGATACACAGTGGGAACAGACCTGCACCTAGCTAAAAAGACTAAAAATTAAAATTATACATTCCCTTTTATGGGACACCAAAGATTCAGAGAGATCCAAAGGATAGACAAGATGAAATAAATCTGAGATTATCTGATAGAGGACTGTGTAACAGAACTTTCTTCAATAATGTTCTATATCTGACCTTCCTAATACAGTAGCACCACCACATGTCACTATTGAGCACCTGAAATGTGTCTAACAAGACTGAGGAACTGAGTTATTAATTTTAAATAGCTATTGAGTATCAAAACTAACAGCACAGAACTAGAAAACCTAGACTAAATGAAAGAATATGGGAACAGAAGCTAAGAACACCCTCAGATATAAATATAGACCACTTTCACAATTACATGTTTTTGGTTGTGTTATTGATCTTGAACATACCTTAGTTATTGCACCTGTGAAATATGGAATAACACTAGAAGCTCATAGGGTTGTTGTGATTAAACAATGAAGGTAAAGCACCTAGCCCAGAGCTAGGTACAAAACAGATAATAAGTAAATGATAGCTATTATTATCAAGCTCCCTGTTTTCCAGATGGAGCAAGTGAAATTCTGAAAAGAAAAGTGACTTATCCATAGTTACAGAGCTACCTGGCCACACAGCCAGGAGCCAATTCCATATTTTATCATGTTTTTGCTTTGTTTTGTTTTGTTTTGGTACTAGGGATTGAACCCAGTGTTGCTTAACCACTGAGCCACATTTCCAGTCCTTTTGATATTTTATTTAGAGACAGGGTCTTGCTAAATTTCTTAGGTTCTCGCAAAGTTGCTAAGGCTGGCTTTGAATTTTCAATCTTCCTGCCTCCATCTCCCAAGCCACTAGGATTACAGGTATGCCCCACCACACCCAGCCTTCCCATGTTTTATGATAATTATTTTTCTTATAGAGACTAACCTCCCTCACTCTTTGTCTTGGTCAGTTTGAGCTACTATAATAGAACACCATAGATTGGGTGGTAAATAACAAAATTTATTTCTCACAGTTTTGGAGGCAAGAGAATCCAAGCTCAAGGCATCAAAAGAATGATGATGGGTGAAGACCCTCTTCCTAGTCACAAATGGCCATCATCTCATTGTGTCCTCAAGTGGCCTAGAGACAAATCACTTCTCTCATGCTTCTTCTTTTAAAGGCACTAATATCATGTCTGAGGGCTATACCAGCACAACCCCATTATCTCCCAAAGGCCCTATCTCCTGATAACAACCACTTTGGGGGATAGGATATGAAAATATGAATTTGTGGTGAACAAATATTCAACTCAAACATTCTACCTACTGCCCCCAAAATTCATGTTCTTCTTCTTTTTTAAAAAATATTTATTTTTTAGTTGTACACAATACCTTTATTTTGTTTATTTATTTTTATGTGGTGCTGAGGATCAAACCCAGGGCCTCGCACTGCTAGTCGAGCGCTCTACCACTGAGCCACAACCCCAGCCCCAAATTCATATTCTTCTCACATTAAAATATAATCATTTCATACTGACAAGCCATGAAGTCTTAACTCTTTCATTCTAAAATCTAAAGCTCAAAGTCTCATTTAAATATCTGAATCAGATATGGGTGATCTTGAAGATACATTCACCTTAAGGCAGAATTCCTCCCCAGCTATGAACCTGTGATACCAAACAAATAATGTACTTCCAAGAAAAAAAAGACAGGATGGGGAAGCCATTCCCATTCTGAAAGGGGGAAAGATAAAATAAGGAAGGAGTGATGGGTTCCAAGCAAGACCAAAACCTAACAAGACAAACTAAATGACATCTTGAGGCTCTTTGCCTTGATGCTCTGGTGTCCAGGCCCACTAGGATGGCAATGTCACCTTTACACATCTTCAGGTAGGTTACGCCCCTTTATCCAGGTGGGAAACTGTCAATGACACTGTGGACAGTAGAAAGGGGGCTGCCACATTGCTTTCTGCAGTGGTCCCTTCCTTGAGTCAGTGTGCATCAGTATCACAGTCTTCAATATTAGAAAGGCAACATTACCCTTTGCAACAGAGAAGGAACTAGATCTGCCCCCAGGGCCTATGATGGGTATGGCAACCCTGATGGTTTCTGAATTACCTATGTGTCCTTTCACTTTTCTTGAAGAAGAGCTCATGTTCAGATACTTCATCCTGTTGTCTGTTTCCTTTAGTCCCACCTGGCAGTGATTCTGCTGGTATAATCCTATCTCCATGTAGGCTTTCCTTTGGATTACTGATTAGATCCTGGGTTTATACTCAAAATAAACATATCAAATGGTCATTCAGCCACATTATTCATGCTTTCTTCAGAACCTGCTTTCTCATTCTTTGCAATATAAATAGAGAATTTTCCAACACTTTAACTTCTGGTTCACTGTTGCTTAAGACTTCCTTCTTCAATTTCTCTCTTCTTGCATTTTACTATAAGCAGGAAAGAAGAAATAAGCTGCTCCTTCAACAGTATGCTTAGAAATATCCTCAGCTAAATATCAAATTTCATTGCACACATGTCCTGCCATCCTTAAAACACTAGAACATAAATATTTTAATTCAAGTCTTTGTCACTTTATAATCAGAATTGCCAACACATCCTATGAGACCAATATTATCATAATTCCAAAACAGAAAAAGACACATCTAAGAAAGAAAACTTCAGACCAATATCTGTATTGAATATAGATGCAAAAATTCTCAATGAAATTCTGGCAAATCAAATACAAAAACAAATCAAAAAGATAGTGCACCACGATCAAATAGGGTTCATCCCAGGGATGCAAGGTTGGTTCAATATACAGAAATCAATAGATGTAATTCATCACATTGATATACTCAAAGATAAAAATCATGATTCTCTCAATAGATGCAGAAAAAACATTTGACAAAATATAGCACCCACTCATGTTCAAAACACTAGAAAAACTAGGTATATTAGGAACATATCTCAGCATTGTAAAAGCTATTTATGCTAAGCCCCAGGCCAACATCATTCTAAATGGAGATCAACTGAAAGCATTCCCTCTAAAAACTGGAACACTTCTATTTAACATAGTTCTTGAAACTCTAGCCAGAGCAATTAGACAAAAGAAATTAAAGAGATATAGATAGGAAAAGAAGAACTCAAATTATCACTATTTGCTGATGATATGATTCTATACCTAGAAGACCCAAAAAATTCCACCAGAAATCTTCTAGAACTAATAAATGAATTCAGCAAAGTAGCAGGATATAAAATCAACACCTGCAAATCAAAGGCAAATGCCTTTTTATATCAGTGACAAATCCTCAGAAAGAGAAAATAAGAAAACTACCCCATTTACAATAGCCTCAAAAAAATAAAATACTTGGGAATCAATTTAATGAAAGAGGTGAAATACCTCTACAATGAAAACTACAGAATGCTAAAGAGTGAAATTAAAGAAGACTTTAGAAGATGGAAAGATCTAACTTATTCTTCGATAGGCAGAATTAATATTGCCAAAGTGACCATACTACTAAAAGCACTATATAGATTCAATGCAATCCCAATCAAAATCCCAATGAAATTCCTTATAGAAACTGAAAAAGCAGTCATGAAATTAATCTGGAAAAATAAGAGACCCAGAATAGCCAAAGAAATCATTATCAGGAAGAGTTGAGCTGGTGGCATTACTTTATCAAACCTTAAACTATACTACAGAGCAATAGTAACACAAACAGCATGGTATTGGCACCAAAATAGACCTGTAGACCAATGGCACAGAAAAGAGGACACAGAGACAAACCCACATAATTACAGTTATCTCAGACAAAGGTGCCAAAAACATATATTAGAGAAAAGATAGCCTCTTCAACAAATGGTGCTGGGAAAACTGGAAATCCACATGTAACAAAATGAAATTAAACTTTATCTCTCACCATGCACAAAACTCAACTCAAAGCGAATCAAGGACCTAGGAATTAAACTAGAGACCTAATACTTGATAATAATGCCTGTTTATTGTATGCACTTACTATGATATACATTTTTATACCTTAATTTTATTTATTTATTTTTATGTGGTGCTGAGGATCAAACCCAGAGCCTCTCACATGCTAGGTGAGCGCTCTATCACTGAGCCATAACCCCAGTCCTCTAATATACTTTTTATCTTTGGAATATACTCTGTTGATTAAAGAAATTTACTATAAAACAGTATACCATGTTATGCTGTCAGCAACCTTGTACAACTTATATTTACTATATCTCTTGATTGCACAAAGTACTAATGTTGAATGATTGACCTGTATCATCTAGGTCTGTGTCAGTACATTCTATGGTATTTTCACAATGACAAAGCCATCTAATGATTTATTTCTCAGAATACATCCATATTATTAAATGATAAATGGCTATTTGATATAGCAGCACCTCATTTCTTGGTACATATTTATTAGTCTGTGCTCTTCAGAGAAACAGAAATAAAATTATACACAAAGAAAGAAAAAAAAAGAAAGAAATATTGATCAACCAACCCAGGAAATTTATTATACAGTATTGAACTATGTGATATGGTGTCTTGAGAAAATCAACACCTCTGGTTATGCAATCAGGCAGAGTTATTTCAAACATTCTCTACCTTTTTGTTCTATATTCAAGCCCTGAATGGTTAGGCAAATCCCCTTTACTAAGAACAGGGTCAGGGATTGAAATGCTAATCTCTTCTGGCCATTGGTGTTTAACCAGCTACTTGGGCATCCTGTGGCCTCATATTTTGATACATAAAATGTATCATCATACCATTGTAGAGTGAAGAGTGGTAGCTCAAACAACAACTCAATCACTTTAAAAAATATCTTACAAATATGGAGAAAATGTACCTTTGTGAAACCTATTTGCTCCTTCCGGAAATTTTCCAGGGGTTTGATCAGCAAATCGCTAGCATTTTGTACCTAAAAAAGAGAGAGAGAGAGAGAAAGCACAAAACAAGTTTTAGATTATCAAGTTTCAGATACAAGATTCCTTGTTGCTAGGGCATTTTCGTGTGAATACATCATCCTACAAAATGTCAACTAGTTTGCTGGTTTGTTGAGTCTTGTTATTCTGTTTCTACATTTTCTCTGAAAATCAAATGCTTTGGGAAGAGCTGAGAGAAAGAACATTAGGGACATTTCTCTGTAACTTTAACAGTAATCTAACCTGAGTTTTTAATGAATAAATAGCTAGACTCATGTCCACATGCCCAGCAGCAGACACAGGGAGCCTGATGTATAGGTGGAAAAGAGAGAAAAAACAATGGAAATAAATGGAAAGCCAATCACACCATGTGAAAACCATTTCATGAGAGACAAATGAGTTAGAAGCAATAGCATTAGAATAAATCATTTCCAGTCCTAAGCTGGTATGCCATAAAACCAGAGTGTTTCCTTCAGAACTTGGGGCATATGTCAGCATCAGAGAATATTGGACCTGGTCTTCATATTACAGAAATAAACATGCACAGAAGCTGATAGGAATGGCTTGTTAAAATTCTACAAATAGTAGCATTAATAGTTTCTGGAGATTTTAAATCATCCAATCCAGAGAGAAGTACTTGTTCTGTGAGCAAATAAAGATATACAAACCCTTTTGTTCATAGAAATCTCTTGGCAGATAGCATCTGCCCAAGGCAACAAGTGAGGTTTGTTTTCTCAAGGACTGGCTTTTGGGACCCATTGCATTAATGCCCTGGGTTTTATACCTATCACCACATACACACACACACACAGATACACACACACACACACACACACACACACACACAAACACACATGAACATAGAAAACAGAATAGAAAGTTAGTTTTGACTAGTTCTCAAAGTAAGAAGAAATTTTTAGCCTACCACCAAAATGCATGGAAAGTCAGGGCAAAGTATATATTTTATCCATATGCTGCAGGTACTTTGGGCCTGTTATATGCTTAGGATAACCTAAATGGGGAAACTTCCTAACAAACAATGTTAATCTTTATATGAGAATAACCTGGTGATCCCTGATATCTTGATCTACCACAGCTTCTAAAAGTACCCTCCAGGACTGGCAACACCTAGTGTTACAGTTTAGATCTTAAATGTCCCTCACAAGTCATGTGGTAAAGGCTTGGGTCACAGTTTCTGGTGCTGTTGGGAAATGGTGGAAGCAATAGGAGGTGGGCTCTAATTGGAGGAATAGTGGGGTGGGGGCATATGTTTCAAGGTTTTATTTTGTCATTGTCACTTTCCATTCTTTCTCTCTGTGCTTTTGGCTGCCATAAGGTAAGAAGCTTTGCTTCAACACACCTTATGCTATTACGCCCTGCCTTACTGCAAGCCCAGAAACAGTAATGACAGCCGGGGTTTGATCAGCAAATCCATGAGCCAAGATAAATCTTTCCTCCTCTCAGTGGATTTTCTCAGATATTTTGTTGCAGTGAGATAAATTGGATTAATACCCAGCAAATATAAAATTAAACAAGAACAAAGTCTTTGCCTTAAGGCAAGAAAGTTTTTGTTTCCTAATCACCCATGTTTCTGTGGTTGACTTTCTAAAAACACTTGTGTGCCACAAGCCTAGATTTATAAAATCACATACCCCTTCCCTACCCTTGCTGACTCTCATAAATACAAGCCACTTTTAAAAATTTTTTTATTTTTTTATTTTTTAATTGCTTTTATTTTTTAAATACATGACAGTGGAATGCATTACAATTCTTATTACACATATAGAGCACAATTTTTCATATCTCTGGTTGTATATAAAGTATGTTCACAACAATTCATGTCTTCATACATGTACTTTGGATAATGATGTCCATCACATTCCACCATCTATACTAAACCCCTGCCCCCTCCCTTCCCCTCCCATCCCCTTCCCTATCTAGAATTCATCTATTCCTCCCATGCTCCCCCTCCCTACCCCACTATGAATCAGCCTCCTTATATCAGAGAAAACATTGGCATTTGTTTTTTTTTGGGGGGGGAGGGGGATTGGTTAACTTCACTTAGCATTATCTTCTCCAACTCCATCCATTTACTTGCAAATGCCATGATTCTATTCTTTTTTATCACTGAGTAATGTTCCATATGCCACATTTTTTTTAAATCCATTCAAGGAAACTTTCTCATTTTCATCACATCTCTTCTCATCTTCTATGAAACTGTTTTTCAGGCTCCATTTGATCCTAATCATAATATAATCTACCTCCCAGTTTGACATTACCTATAGCCCTAAGTGTGTCCATTAGAGAAAGGCAGGAAAGTTCACAAATACACACCTGTAAGACTCCTCTGTAAAGGTTTTTCTATAGAGGTCCCTTTTTCTCACAAAGTTTCACACTGATTTCTGATCCAATCAAACTTATGCTGCCAGTTCTGGCATCAAAAAGAAAAACATCCACTGGGCATGGTGGCACACGCCTGTAATCCCAGCAGCTCGGGAGTCTGAGGCAGGAGGATAGTGAGTTTAAACCAGCCTCAGCAAAAGAGAGATGCTAAGCAACTCAGTGAGACCCTGTTTCTAAATAAAATACAAAATAGTGCTGGGATGTGGCTCAGTGGTCTAGTGCCCCCGAGTTCAATCCCTTGTACCTCCCCCCAAAAAGTAAAGAAAAACATCAGTGATTCTCCTTCTCTCCTTGATTGAAAACAAGAATCCTTGCACTAAAAGTACTAGTCCAGACATCATACCCAACATATTTTACAGTTCCCAGGACTATGGATGATATACTATCAATTTTTGTACCCACATGACAGCAATTTCAGTCATCATTGTCATAGAGTAGAAAGTCATTTTTTTCCTATTTACTATTATAGAAATCTTAAATGGCCAAAATTTCTATTTGTTTGTTTGATTTTTGGTACCAGGGATTGAACCAGGAGCACTTAACCACTGAACCATATCTCCAGCCCCTTTTGTATATTTTATTTAGGGGCAGGGTCTCGCTGAGTTGCTTAGGGCCTTGCTAAGTTGCTGAGGCTGGCTTTGAATTTATGATCCTCCTGCCTCAGCCTCCCAAGCCACTGGTATTACAGGCATGAATCAAATTAAAACAAATTCTTTGACACACTTCCTATTGAACAATGAAGTCTTAGTCCCTTTTACCTTGCATATGAGCTGACTTGTAACTGTTTTGAAACAAAAGATTAAATTAAAAGTGATACTAGGTGATTCTGAGGCTAGGTCATAAAAGGCCATCAGTATCCACCTAGTTCTCTAGGAATACTCTTTGAGAGCCCTGACAGTGTATGTAAGAAGTTGAAGTACCCTGAGACTAATAGCTGGAGAGGTTAAAGGTAGACATTTTGGTCAATGTCTAGTGTCAGTCAAATCCATCCATCCTTGTCAAGGTACCAGACATATGAGGAAAGCCATTTTGATTCTCCATATCAACTCAGCTGCAAGGTGAATCCAACTGTGTGGAAAAACACACTCCACTGACCCTGTCTGAATCTCTGACTCACAAACTCATTAAATTGTTTTAGTTTAAGCCACTGGATTTTAGAATAAGCTATTATCCTGAAATAGATAACTAGAAAACACTTCCAATTTTACAAAGTATCATGTAAAAAGTGACCATCTGGGAAAATTCAGAAACTCTTTTAAATAAAAAGTGAGCATGCCACTTGTGAAAAGAATAGCATATACCAAGCCTCTGTATGGATGCCAAGCTGTGCCTTTCCATATTCAGGAACTCCCAGGACAGCACAGTTGATGTTTTTCTTTTAATGTTCCAAGAGGGACTGTTTGCATAAACAAGTATGCAAGCAACTTGCCTTTGATATGTTTGGTCCCTGCTCAGTCTAAGAAAGTAGCAGATGATTCACTGAAATGGGAATCCATAGTTTTCTCTCAATCACATTGGTAATTCTACTCACAGCTTCCCACACCACAGATAGACACTCTAAACCTTTTCCTCTCTTTTATACTCATTTTTTATTATGCTATCTTCTGACAGAACGTACAGCTAGGGATGTAGACAAGGCCATATTGAAGCTTGGCTCTTCTTCTTCATTCTATTTTACCCTTAAAACCCTTAGAAATCTACCATCTACTCAAAGAAACATTTTTAAGTAAATCTGGTCTTTAATCCACTTTCTGATCACTGCCTCCATTTTATGAGCTCTCTGAGAGAAAAATTCTTAACTGCTGTATCAGGGGAGAATATCCACCATGAGAAGTACCATCCTGAACACATAATTTGCGCTGGTGATGTGGCTCAGTGGTAGAACACTTGCTTTATATGCATGAAGCCCTGGGTTCAATCCCCAGGACCACAATTTTTTTTTTCCTAAACATGTTAGATTATCTCATCAGTTTCCTATCAAATATGCCCACATTTACATGAGATAAGGTCTTTAGAAGAATAGAGATGGTGGGGCCGGGGTTGTGACTCAGTGTTAGAGCACTTGCCTAGGATGCAGGAGGTACAATGGGTTCAATCCTCAGTACCACATAAAAGTGAATAAATAAAATAAAAATATTGTGTCCATCTGCAACTAAAAAAAAATTTAAAAAAGAATAGAGATAGCAGCCAGTCTAGTACAGCAGAATTGCTCAGGAATCTTTGATTGTTAAGAAAAAATTACTAAAAGATGGCATTGAGGTTATGCTGTTTAAAATAATAAAATAGTATGAGATTCTTTAGTTTTTTTTTTTTTTTTAAGAAGTCTTAAAGACAGATCTTGCATATTCCCAACAGGGCCCTCTTCAGAGTCAGAAAGGCACCTAGAAAAGCTTCCTCTTTATACAGGAAATCTGCCACACAGACACTAAAAGGTCACCTCTGAGATAATACAACCTCCCCCAGAGTACCATGAAGAAGATCACAGCTGGGATGTTCTGCAATTCTTCCCTCCATCATTCCTGCCAAATTTTATATTTATTTATGGAAATAATGAGGCTCTGGTCATTTTCACATTCTAGGGCCATAGAACCTTTGCTGTTATTACAAGTCATATTTTAGAATCTGAATTTAAAAAGGATGCACAACTTTTAAACACCTCTCATATCATACAGATTGTGGTAGAGGACTCATGGTCCTCAGAAAAGGGAAAGGTGCCATCAAGCAATGAATTCCTGGCATGGTGTGAAAGGCTCCTATTAACCTTCACAACATTCTTGGAATTAAGTGGGAAATGGGGAGCAAACACTCAATACATGATTGAAAAAATGTAGGGAACAAAAGGGTGTAAATAATTAAAGACAGAAATAAGTGAGTCAGTCATGTGGTAAAGAGCCAGCAAGAAGGGTGAGAAAAACAACATCTCAAAAGACAAATATTCTCCTTCAATATTTTAGAGTTTTGTTATTGGATAAATAAAAGAGATCGTGAAACAATAAGAGCTGAAGAGTAGTACAGCTGAGCATCTAGTGGCATCTGAATGAAAATGGGGTTGAATGCCTCTGAAAACAACATGGGCAGCCATCCACAAACTCTCTGGGGAGAAGAGAATATTTAGTAGAGTTTGGATCAGCTAGGGGACCATCTATGAGGTTTCAGAGAAACCACCCACATTGGTCTCTCCTTAGTACACTTAGCCAATTTCTTAAGCTAGGAAATTTCTCAAGTCACATTTCCACATGTGGAAAATCTTAAGAATAACCAAAGATAACTAAAAATGATGCTTAAAGAATTGACAGTTTTTCCCTTTACAAACACTAACATATTTACTATATCCATATTGTGTACTTTATAATAACCATAAAAGGTAGGGAGAATTTCTCCCGCTATACAAATAAGAAAAGGGGGACACACGGAAACAAAATGATTAGTCTGTAGTCAATAAGTAACTTAGGGGCCGAGCTAGAATTAGAGTCTAATTCTCCAATTTCCCTACATCAAAATTCTGCTTTCAAACCTACTTCTCTAGGAGCCTAGATAAAATGGGAGCAGCATTCTGAAAAGTCAGAACCCTCTGTTGAAAAGAAAGATGGATGATTGATAAAAATTACTCTTATTATTGGAATAAATGAGTTTCATAAACTGAGATGTTAATTAAAGTTATGCCACAAGAGAAACAGAAGGTAGATCACTTTGTTATTCTCTACAGAGTTCCCACCTTACCCTCATGGTCCTAATAAAAAAGAATACTGATAAACATTGGTATTTCCATATTTAATTCCCAGTAGAACCTGTATTTCTAACAATTTCCCAGGTGCTGCTGGTGCTGCCAGTCTAAGTACCACACAAAGATTACTTTTTAAACTGCTAAAATAATTTGAATCAACAAAAAAAGAGGATGCTGATCCTAACGGGGGGGGGCATGGAAAAAATGGAGGAACTTTGATTGGGCAAAGGGGAGGGAAATGATATGTGGGAAGGGAGAATGGGGGCAGGAAGTATGGTGGAATGAGATGGACATAATTATCCTAGGTACATGTATGACTGCACATATGGTGCAACTCTACATCATGCACAACCAGAGAAATGAAGAGCTGTGCTGCAATTGTGTCCAATGAATCAAAATGCATTCTGCTGTCATACGTACCTAATTGAAATAAATTAATTTTAAAAAATGAAAGTCTCAGGTTCAAATCTAGCAAGAAATGTAAAACATCTGTATGAGGAAACTACACAACTCTGATGATATAAATCAAACATGTTATAAGTAAATGGAGAGGTAATTCAAGTTTCTGAATATCAAGAGTCAATAGTTTTATGATACAAGGTTCTTCCCAGCTTGATTTATAGATTCAATGAAATCCCTGTCAAAATGCCAGCAACTTATCTTGTAGATATGGACAAACTGATTATAAAGATTATACCTTACTTTGAGACTTAGTATAAAGATAAGTAATCAAGACAATGCATTATTGGAGAAAATAGACAAATATTCAACAGAAATACAGGTTATAAATATAGATCCACACAAATATAGTCAACTGATCTTTGATAAAGGAGAGAAAGTGATTAAATGGAGAAAAGACAGTCTCTCATCATTTTAATAAATGATGCTGAAACAACTGGATGTCCACGTGGAAAAATGAACCTAGACCCATATATTAAACCCTTTAACAATTAACTCAAATGGATTACAGACCTAAATGTACAAGAGTTCTAGAAGATAGCATAGGAAAACTCTGTGACCTCGTTTTCTAGTTTTCTTTTATTTTTAATGTGGTGCTGAGGATCGAACCAGAGCCTTGAATGTGCTAGGCAAGTACTCTACTACTGATCTACAACTCCAGCCCATGACATTGGTGTTGTAATGAGTGTTTAGATAAAAACCAAAGGTATGCTCTATAAAAAAAGTGATAAGCTGGACTTCATTAAAATTTAAAACTTCTAGGCTGGGGTTGTGGCTCAGTGGTAGAGGGCTCACCTAAGCATGCATGAGGCACTAGGTTCAATCCTCAGTACCACATAAATGTAAAATAAAGATATTGTGTCCACCTATAACTAAAAAATAAATATAAAAAATAAAAATTTCTGCTATGGAAAAGACACTATTAAGAATGAAAAGACTCAGATCTGGGGCTGTAGCTCAGTGGTAGAGCACTTGCCTGGCATGTGTGAGGCACTGGGTTCGAGTCTCAGCACCACATATAAATAAATTAAATAATAAAGGTCCACTGACAACTAAAAAAAATATTTAAAAAAAGAATGAAAAGACTGGGTTCATTTCCCAGCAACACACACACACACACACACAATGAAAAGACAAGCCACAGATTAGGAGAAAAATTTCAATAAAACACAAATTGAATGAAGGACTGGCATCCAAAATACACAAAGAACTTTTTTTTTTAGTACCATGGATTAAACTCAGGGGAACTTAACCACTGAGCCACATTCCAATGCCTTTTTTAAAAAAAAAATTTAGTTGTAGATAGACCTTTATTTTATTTATTAATATGCAGTGCTGAGAACTGACTCCAGTGCCTCACACATGCCAGGAAGGTGTGCTACCACTAGAGACAGGGTTTCCCTGAGTTGCTTAGGGAAGGCTTTGAACTCGCAGTCCTCCTGCTTCAGCCTCCTAAGCCATTGGGACAAAGAACTCTTACACTCAATAACAAACTACCAATTAAAAAACTGACAAAAGATATTTCATATACAGACAGCAATTAAGCTTATGAAAATATGTTCAATATCATTTGACATTTTAAAAAGTTACAAATTAAAAACACTGTGATACCACCACATACGTTTTAGAGTGGCCAAAGTTGGAAACACTGACAACACCAAATGCTCACAAGGACAGGGAACATTGCTGGTATGAATGCAAAGTAATACACTTTGGAAGATGATTTTATAGTTTCTTAAAATACTAAATATATTGTTGCTATATGATTTTGCATGTGTATCCCTTAGTATTTACCCACAAGAGATGAAAACTTACTTCTACACAAAACCTACACACTAAATGTTCATAGCAACTTTATTCATAAGGGGCAAAACATGGAAGCAACCAAGATGCCGTTCAGCGGTAGCACACCTTCCTGGCATGTGTGAGAGGGTGAATCAGCAAATATGCTATGATATATCATAAATAAAATATTATTTAATCATAAAAAGAAATGAACTATAAAGCCTTGAAAGACATAAACAACCCTAAATGCATATTCCTAACTGTAAGTGTCCAATCTGAAAAGGCTACTTACTATATAATTCCTGCTGTATCACATTCTGAAAAAGTGAAAACACAGTAATGGGTTGTGGGTGTAGTTCAGTGATAGAGCACTTAATGAGCATGTATGAGGCTCTGGGCTCCATCCCCAGTACCACCAAGGGTAAAAGAGAAAAGAAAAAAAAAAAATAAAGAAAAATGTTTTCCAGGGTTTTGTCACAGAAGAGAAAGGGAGCAGTGAACAGGTTAAGCAGGGGATATTTAGGGCTCTGAAACTATTCTGTATGGTAATATGGAGCCATGACATTATACATTTATCAAACATATAGGATGTGCCATAAAGAGAGTAAACCTAAAAGTAAACCATGGTCTTTAGTTAACAATACTGTATCCATATTGACTCATTAATTATTAAAAATGAACCACACTACCAAGATGTTAATAATAGGGGAGATGAGGGGATATATGAGATCTCTCTGTACTTTTCACTCAATTTTTCCACAAAACTTAAAGTACTCTAAAAATGGACTTTGTCTATTCGTTTTACAAAATTAGTCTTTAAATATAAAGGGAGGAAAATCACTGCATAGATTTTTAATAAAAGAGTCATTAATCAAATACAAATAAACTTATGCTAGTATTTCTGTTAACAGAGAAAAAGATTACTAGAAAATTCGATTAAGAACACTAAAGACTGTAATTTTATTTAACATGTTCAAAAGTTCACTTTAAGTTCCTCTGAAAATTTTTCTCACTGAAATGAATAGGGATCGAATTTCCACATTAATTTCCCTCTGCCTAATGCCAAACTCTTGGGGGTGGGAGCTTGAGATAGAATAACAATATTTATTAATTAATTATTTTAAGAGTACCCAGAACCCTTTAAACAGCACCTGAAATAGCAGAGGCTCAATCCAACCAAAAAAGACAAAAATATCCCAATATCAGCCATGATCTCAGTTCCAGATAAGTGACCTACCATCATCATCCTTTCGTTTTCTACTTCATTGAGCAATTCAGCAAACTCCTTGAAGGATTCAGCTGGTAGGAAAGAATAAAAGACAAAGCAAATTAATCATGGTTCTTGGTAGACAAATGGAAGAGATCTGTCCGACACAAGTAGAGATCAGTGCCTTAACTTCACACAACTAGTAGAGGAAGGCATCAAATCTAAGATCGCGAGGAGAATGTCTCCAAGGCTGATTGAATGCTTCTCATTTTATTTCCTTTTCTCCCCAATCTCCTACTATTATGATTTCAATCTAGAAATGTCCCCCCAAAATCTCATGTTTTAGAAGCTTAATTCCCAGTGCAGCAAGGTTCAGAGGTAGAGCTTTTAGGCAGTGATTAGGGCTGTAACCATTTGATAGATTAATCATCTGAATGGACAACTAGGTGGTAACTATAGGCAGGTGGGGTTTGGTTGGAGGAAGTAGATCACTGGGGGCAGGACTTTGGGATTTATGGTTTGTCCCTAGAACATTTGGTCTCTGTGCTTCCCAGCTGCCATGAGCTGAGCAGCTTCCCACCACCGTATCTACCACATTCTGCTTCACCTTGGGCCAGAAAAATGGAGACAACAAACCACAGACTAAACCTCTGAAACCATGAGTGCAAAGTAAATTTTTCCTCCTCTAACTTGTATTTGTCAGGTATTTTCAACACAGCAATAAGCTGATTAATATCCCTTCAAAACTTCTTTAATATTTTATTTATTCATCATAGTCATCCTTAGGAATAGCTAGAAATTCTCTCATTTCATAGACATGCAAAAAGATGTAGGAAGGGGCAATGGGTTTGCTGTATAAAAAATGGCAGCTCTACAACCTCAACACCTGAGCTTGGGTACCTGCTCCACTAGTAACCAACCTAGAACAATTTCTTTTCATTTACCTTTTGTATGCCTTAATTTATTATTTCAGACTGGTTATAGAAATGGAATGAAACATGGTTTGCAAAAATATTATGCAAAGTGTTGTGTCATTTGTCTTTATTTTAGAAGCACTGTGGTGAAGTAAAAAACACATTTGACTTATTAGCTGTGTAACATTAGAAAAGTTACTTAATCTCTCTGAGATCCATTTTATTTATCTAGAAATAATTCTTGTCTCACAGGGTTGCTACAATGGTTAAATGACATAACACATGTATAGTTTCCCAACACACATAGTAACCATTCAATAAATGTTAGTTCTGTTCCTTGTTGGGTCTAAAGCAGTGATACTAAACAATGGTTCATTAGAATCACTTGGGGAGCTGAAAAATATCAATGTCATGCCCTTTTCTACACAAGTTAAACCCAGATTCACCTGTAAAGGAAAATAGTCAACTGTTTTCCTATATTTATGCTACACTCTGACACCAATGTGTGGGGTTTTCCCTAACATTAAGCAATTCTCAAGCTCTCCAGAAACCAACTGTGTGTCCTAGAATTCAATTATGATACTTATTACCCAGAGTAAGTGCCAACCCAACAGCTAAAGGTCTCAGCCCCTGAAAACTGCCCCCTCCATTTTCCACGTCAGTCACAAGTTCCAGGACGTCAACTGTATACTTCTGACCAACCAGCTATAAATTGGAGGGTTTCATAAACCCCTCCTTGAATTTGATAACCTCCTGGAATGGTTCACTGAACTCAGCAAAATACTAATACAAGCTTGTATTTTAAAGGATACAACTCAGGAACCACCAAACGGAACACATGCATAAGGCAAGGTTGTGGGGTGCAGAGTCCCTTCTTCCTAGAAGTGCCACCTCCCAGAATTCCCATGTGTTCACCAATTTGGAATCTCCCAAAACCCCATTGTTTAGTGTTGCTACAGGGGGATTATTAGGCATGTCTGACTGGTTGAAGCACAGTCATTTTCCAGGCCCCGTTCCGTCCCTGGATGTTGGAGAGTGGGGTTTAAAGATCTAACCCTCTAGCCACATGGTTGGTTCCTCTGGCAAATCAACCTCCATACTGCAAGAGTCATCTCATCAACATAAACTCAGGTGTGGCTGAAGAAGATTCTGGATATCAAGACAGTTGTCTGACCTCTAGCACCCAGGAAATTCCAAGGGTTTAGGGGCTTTATGGAGAAATCAGGGACAAAGACCAAATATATGCTTATTATACCACAATATCACAACCTGCTAAGTACCAGAATCTTACAGGACTAAACACAACACAATTGCAGGAGGGAACACACAGGTTTCAAGTTGGAAATAAAGCTTAACCACCTAGGAGTATATTATTATATTAACACAAAACAATAAAAATGAATGAACAAAACAGTGATAATGAAATCTTGGCTATGTTCTCATGGTACAGACAGTACTGAGATTCAACTCCTCTCCTGTTCCCTTTCTGCTTTATTTTTGCTATATTTACCCACCTGACCCTGGCCCAATTTTATCAGATTTTAGACATTAGGCCCCAAATCACATGCAACAAGGTAATGCTAGTTCCACAGTAAAAGGGGCAAGTTGTATAGTATTATAAAACCATTCACATAATGCTTCAAACCTTTAGCAATACTTACTATTTGCAGCCATCCAGCCTGCAATCATACAACTTTAGTGATGGTAGTAGTAATCAGCTTGAAGCAGTGTGCACAGGACTATGCCAGTTTTAAAACTAAAAGCTCCACATTCCAGAAAAACTGACAGACTCAGTTTGTCTGGGACTGTTAATCCCCCAAGTAACAGAGCACATGCTTTTTCCTAAGGCAGGTCATTCCATATATTCAGGATGTCTCTATTAAAAACTCTTTCCTTAATAGTAAGCCCAAATCTATCTCTCTGCATTCTAGCTCATATCTATTCAGGTACCTGAAGAAAGATTTTACAGGATTGTAGATAAAGACACACGTTAGAAAAAAAAAAAACAATAGATGAGTATTAGATGATGAGGATTCTATTTTAGGAGACATCACAGAGAAAGAGGAGGGGCATACATTTTAGAGAGAAATAGATCTAGATTGACAACCTAATTCTGTCATCTTCTTGCTGTGTGACATTGGATAAATGATTTGAGCTTCAATTTCCTCACCTATCAAAAAGACATAATCATACCTATGTAATGGTGTTGCTGTAAGAACAAAATTAGTGGTAACTGTGGAGTGTCATTACCTAGTAAACAATACACATTACCCCTTTTGCCCCTCTCCAACCTTCTACCCTTCTAGAGCCAATGTGTGTTCTCTCTCTCTCTCTCTCTCTCTCTCTCTCTCTCTCACACACACACACACACACACACACACACACACTAAGTTAGGCTAAGCAGAACTAAGATAAATAGTCTTTAGTGCCTTTAAGGACCCTTTAAATTCTCCAACTTCCTCCCAATAATATGAAGTATAACACCAAATGGTATTTTAATTACAGAGAACATATGGAAAGCCTAGAAAAACAAATGTGTCCAAGTTAATATTTTTAATTAAAAAAAACCTTTAAATAGATTTCCCTTCCTATAAGAACTGGAAAACTAGTTCAGCATTCCTGGTATCAAGGAAACTATATTCAGAACCAATACAGGACACAACATAATGACATTTCTTTCTTCTTATGATTAAGTTGTGACATATACTATGGAACATGTGGAAGTTACCTTACAAAATACCACAAATTCATTCAAGGTTCACCCTTAGCATAGAGAAGATAAATACTTTACTCAGAAAGAGTCAATAGGAAAAAATGGAAATGTTCATTGATCTCTTGTCCCCAAACACTTAATGCTACAAAAGAAGTCAGAGAGATTGTTGTTGTTGTTAATGTTCATCCATTTTGAGTTAAGTTTTGCATATGGTATGAGGTAGAAATCCAAATTCTTCCTTTCACATGTGTTACCCAGTTGCCCTGGCACTATTTGCAGAACATTTTTTTCCTCAACTGATCTTAGGACTCTTGTCAAAGTCAACTGGCCATAAGTTACAGGATTATTTCTGGACCCTTCACTCTATCCCATTGATCTCTATGTCTGGATTTATGCCAGTAACACATTATCATAATAACAGCACCTGCATACTGAGTTTTAAAATGGGGAAGTAGGAATTATCCAACTTTCTTCTTTTTTCAAGATGGTTTGGCTATTCTGGGTCCCTGGAACTTCCATATGAATTTTACTATATTTACTTTGAAAATTTCTGGGGAAAAAAGCAGCTATGTCTCTCCTACAGAATATTCCATGTGCACTTGAAAATAACATTCTTCTTAGGTAGAGTATTCTGCAGGAGTATTCTTCTTCCCTAAGGTTTGTTGTTCTTGACATTGCAATTGGCTTAGTGACTTCATAGACTAATATTATACACTATATATTCATTGTTATTTGAAGCTACTGAAGTTTCTGATCAGTTAAACTTTATGGTTAGCAAATAATTAATAATTAAACAGATATTTTTAAATGGTTTGAACCAATAAGTCTGTGAACCTTCTTGAGGGGTTCAATACTTTGAGGTATGCCTTCAACACTTAGGCAGTTATAACTCTGCCTTAGCCATCAGATCTTTCTTATGAAGAGTATCAAGGTCAGCCAGAATTGTGAGATTAGAGTCTTCTCAGTTATTTTCCAGACAGGTACACATGTTGGGTGTGTGATCTTTTGGATTTCAAGGACAGATCGCAGATTTTCAAAGCTCTCTAAGGCTACTTTATTATTCACTTTTTTTCCTTTTAGATTTATTGTTGAGCTCCCTCTTTGCAATTTTATTCTTTTTGTTCCCTGTGGAAGCAGCAGTACTGCACAATCACTGCTGATTATTTAGAGAAAATCCCTGAAGAAAAAAAAATTGAAATGAGCAATCTGTGAGTCAGTTCAAATAATACAAGTCCTGTGAGTGATATTTCCCAGCTTTAAGGGAAATTCAAACCCATTCTGCCTTCTCCAATGGCTGCCAGAACTGTGGTTTTCACACTTTCCTTGATTGTGCAGCTGCTAGTTTTCAAAGCTACTGTGGAACAGAAAAAAGGCAATGGGAATACAGCAAGATAAAATACCACAAAACTCACCTTTCTCCCAATTATTTAGTCATTTTCATCAATAAACATGCCTTTTATTTTTG